TACCTTAAGGAGCCTAAACTATGGGACTTATGGCATATTCCTCGTTATGGGTAATGCAGGATTTGTATCATCAACCGTATTAATAGTCTAGCACAGAAACAAACACAAGCAATCGGACATTTTGAAGAATACTTTGTTCGTGTATCTCCTTCCTGACGGTACCAAAAGTGCGATCGAGCGGTGAAGTCGTGAGGAGGAGCCGGAAAAGCTTAGAGCGGGAATCTTCGGGACCCCTCCAGAATGATAATTAGTCCTGGCGTCAGTAGCCTCAGAAAGGAGCCAGATGTACTCTCAGAAGAAGGAGACACGACAATACGCATGAACTTCTGCTGACGCTTGACCATACACTCCTAAAGCTGGAATGCTGAAAGCACTCAACTGCAAGCGCCTGCAGATCCTGAACTCAAAACCTTACGTCATCAACCCCCCGATAGTTAAGCGAAAAGGCCCGAACTTCAACGTTGAACCGTAAACCTTTAAGCATACACCCTGAGTCCTGTAAACCCCAAAACCAGCTTAGGATCCGGGCCAACCAGCAAAGCATCAACACTGATGGGTGGGGCCTCTGTCGACCCCGACCTGTTCGAATTTTAGGGTTTTCGGTTCAAGTTTTCACGGTGCAGGGTTTAGGGCTTAGGGTCTAGGTTCAAGTGTTTTGAAATTTTGATGGCTTTGAGTGCTAGAGCTTCGAGGCAAAAGGATTAGGGCTCAGAGATTAGAGTTTGCCCTAGACCCTCAACTACGGCTTCAGAAGGTCGAGATCACGGCTTTGTGACCACGGTTTCAGGGACCAGTTTTTTTTGGGGGTGTTGCGTTTAGGGCTTAGGGTTTTGGGGGTTTACCCAGCAGGAAAAGAAGGATTAAGGCAAAGACTTCCGGGCTTATACCAATGCTTGATGGTGTCAGCGCTTAGGACTTCAGGGGTATATAAATGCTTGAGTGCTTAGTTTCGGAGTGGGGAATTTGGGTTCTGGGCTTTGGGCCTAAAGGGGCCTGGGGCTGTGAGTTGAGGGCTAGGTTTTGCGGCTTAGAGTTTTCAGGTTTATACTTTTGGAAGTAGCGTGTTGTAGATGAGGGCACGGATACGGGATCCCTTAACCCTAGAACTTAAACCACCAGGGCACGGCTAGGGCATTGACCATGTTTTTGGATTAGAGGATCAGGGTTCATAGGGTTTAGGGTTTGGGGATCACCCTGAGCCAAAAAGCGGTACAGTAGAATCCCAAGTCCTAGACGCTTACCAAAACTCTGAGATCCGACACTTCAGGTCTCGACGCCTTAACAGATCCCCAAAAGCATACGACCTAAAACAACCGCGAACCAGACCCATTACGATCTGCACACCCAGTCATGACACTAAACCCTAAACCCAAAAGCTCTACTAAACCCTAAAACCCTAAATCGTAATTAAGCCCTGCAAACATTCTACGAAATAGGTTCTTCAGGCTTCTATATTAACCCCAAAACGCAGACATCCCGAAGCCCTGGCGCGTCCTCTCCCGCAGGACCGCACAGTAGAGCAGGGCCTAGCTAAACAGGCTTAATGTAGGGGCCTTTATAATTAAGAATATAATTCGAATAGGGTTTTGGGGCATATTATACCATAATAGTTATAAAATCAAAATACTAAAGGTAATTTTTTAGGCCCCGATATTACGGTCACTTGGGGTTTAGGGGCTTCGTCAGCCAATGCCCTCCAGTGTAGTTCGTCGTTGGGTTGCTTGGCTTCTCTGTTGCCTGCACGGTAATGTAGCGGCCTTAATAATTAGAATCGGGTTTTTGGGTCCCATTCTACAACAATTCTAAGAAGGAACCCCCTAAAATAATATAGGTAATTATTTAAAAAGTCCCTGGAAGAGATATCGGCGGTGTCGGCGGGCATTGTTGAAGCGGAAAGAGATGTGGCAGCTTGTAGGGAAAGAGTCTATGAGCTGAATAAAGAGGATGCCCCGCGCATGTTGGAAGTAGTGATTGACTTCTTGGAGAAGGAAACCATAAGGATCCATGTAACCAAATAGTATACTTTAGCTTTAAAGTAGTGCCTATATAGGTACTTTGGGGGCAATGTATCTACTGTTTGGGCACATGGACCCTTAGGGAAAGTGGCCTGGTGTTGGACGACCAGCAGCGAAACAAGCTCAGAGCCCAGATCGAGGCTCGAGCTGTGGCCACTGGGGACTACTTAAAGGATCAGGGGACTTAGTAACTACACGGTTATCTTATATTATCACGGTAACCATACTTATAACTACTTATAACCCCAATTAAGGTACTTATAACCATACTTATTAAGCCCCATGATCCTCCAAGTAGGCGCCTACATTACATTACACGGTAGGGTCCTACTTGGAGGGTCGGGGGACTTAGTAAATGGTTATTTTGTAGACTTAGAAGTACTATAACCCCAATTAGGGTCCCTTTTAGGGTACTTATAAGTCTTCTTATTACCTGCTTACTCACTAAGTCTCCCGACCCTCCAAGTAAACATAAAACGGACTGGCCCAGGAACGCATCTACACTGCAGAGCATAGGTCGGGTTTCCGAGTTGATGCTTCATGAGCTTGTCAACATGAGCTTAAGGTTAACAACCCTGAATCCTAATCTCGCTCATGCCTCTACTTCAACTTTCAGTGTTAAGTCAGCCCTAAACCCTAAACCCTGGTTTCTAGTATTGCTTCTTTGGAAAGGGGGCTGGTGACTGCAAGTCTTAGGCTTAAGGCTTTGGGGCTCCAACGTTCCTCGGCTCCAGCTTAGTAACTTTCATCGTGCACATATCTTCTGTTGTTACGATCATAACAAAACCTTAAGGTTTAGGGTTTAGGGTTTAGGTTAAACCCTAAACCCCTAAACCCTAAACCCCTAACCCCTAAACACCTCATTCCGATGCAGAGCCCAGCCAAAGCCCCACACGCTCGACACCTCAGGCGGAAGGCTTCAAGTCCATCTTCAAGCTGCAGCCCTGTGCAAGCTAAATCCTGGACCTAGATGGCCCTAAAGGCTCGAGGTTTAGGGCTTAGGGTTTAGGGTTTAGGGTTTAGGGTCTAGGACTTGCATGTGCCCTAGAAACCCCGACATTTTCAGTTTCCACATTTCGGATCATAATTCCTTTTTATACTACTTATAGTTTCTACAGTTGCTCAGCAGGTATGTAGGTATTTGCGTATTTGGGGGGAATTTTGAGGGGGTTCCGCAAATGCTTGTTGAAGCCAAGGAAGCAAAGCCCTCCGACTCTTTTTTCAGGGAGTCGCCCCAACACCGGTACAAGACGCGGGTAGTTTAAGGGTTTAGGGTTTAGTTCCCTTCATGGTCCTTGTATCCTAAACCCTAAACCCTATTTGGGGACGCAAAAAGGGACCCGTTCAGAGATCTGTATCCTTCATAGAAACCCTTATAGATCCCTTCAAGGAGCCATTAAAAGCAGGACCCTAATTTAGAGAACTCTACTATTTATATGGGTAGTTCTCTAAATTAGGGTCCCTTTTAGGCTCCTTTTTATACGGGTGCCGTACTATATTGGGGACCAAAAAAGGGACCCTAATTTAGAGAACTAGATGGGAGTTTCAGAAAACTAGGGTACCCTATTTAGGGGTCCTGATAATAAGGATCCTACTATTTAGCGTCCTATATCAGGGTCCCCTATTTTCTGAAACTCTCATATTATTAATACACCCCTGCGCAGGATGCCTCGGAAGGCGAAGAGATCGTGCGGAAGACCGCCTGGTGTCGGGTTTGGGGCTTTAGGGCTTCAGGGGTTTCAGGGGTTTAGGGGTTTGGGGCTTTAGGGTTTAGGGGTTTAGGGGTTTAGGGGTTTAGGGGTTTAGGGTTTCAGGGGTTGAGGGGTTTAGGGCTTTAGGGTTTAGGGCTTAGGGGTTTAGGGCTTTAGGGGTTTAGGGGTTCAGGGCTTAGGGTTGAGGGGTTTAGGGGTTTAGGGGTTTAGGGGGGTTGAGGGGTTTAGGGCTTGAGGTTGAGGGTTGAGGGTTTAGGGGATTAGGGGTTCAGGGGTTTAGGGTTTCGGGCTTAGGGTTGAGGGTTTAAGGTTTAGGATGTAAGGTTTAGGGTTTGGAGTTCTCGGGAGTCCAAGGCAGGATTGAGGCATCGCATTCTCAACAGAGTTTGTGGTTTGTGGGTATTGCACCACTGGGAGTTGTAGGCTGTCAACTTTGAAATCGGGTGGAGCAGTTTGCTTGAGGATCAGGCGGCAGTGGAGTCGCACCGACAATGTAAACCACGCACTCATGAGATTCTAAACCCCAAACCCAAACTACCAAACGACAATCCTGAAGCCAAATTGCGAACCATAATTATAAACTGACACCCTAAACCCCCATACTCCGTAACCCTGTCATATAACTCTACGCGCTAAACCACCCAAAGCCCTAAATCCGCAAAGCCCTGAAACGCACCAAACCACCAAACTTCCACCCTACACCGGTTTGCAAAGTTGCATCAGGTCTCTGAGCCTTTCACCGATTCTATGACAGTTGAGGCAGGCCCCTACATCTCTACACCCTTTAGTATTAGACCCCTAAACCCTAAACCTTGAATCCTAAACCCTAAACCCTAAACCCCAAACCCTGAACCCTAAACCCTGGGCTTGTGAAGGTTCACACTGTTGGGGGCTTTGAGTTTCAGGGTTTAGGGTTTCAGGGCTCCCGACCTCAGACTGCCGTAACCGAAGGCTTTGAAAATAGACTGTAGGACCCTACCTCACCAGGTATAGGGTTCAGGATTTTAGGGTTTTAGGATTTTAGGGTTTTAGGGTTTAGGGTCTAGGGTATGGATAATCTTAAACCCTCAACACCCTACGACGACGAGGCCTTGTTATATCATGTCATAAACCCCTTCAAAAAAGCATGGTGCCTTCGCCAAGACCATGGCCGTCAAAGAGGTGATCGCGGCCACGAGAGTCCCACTCTCGACCTTTCTTGACTACTTGGAGGATCATGGGACTTAGTAAGTATGGTTATAAGTACCTTTATTGGGGTTATAAGTAGTTATAAGTATAGTTACCCTAATAATAACCTTAGTTACTAAGTCCCATGATCCCTTAAGTAGCTGCATGACTAGTTTTGAATCTAGGTTCATGAGTCTCGGTGGGGGCACAATTAGGATCTCGGCGGTGAGTTTTGCTTAAGAGGGTTCATCGGAAATCTCAGGTGCACTGGAGTTGCAACTACATGAGGTGCCTCGGGTGTACTCGTGCTTACAGCTGCCCTTGAGCCTTGAGCCTGCAAGTATGCTTGTCCCCCATGGTCAATTTTCAACTACACCCCAGGACTCAGTTAAGGAATTCAATTTCGTTCAATTCAGACTCAACAAACATTCTTCAACACCGCATGGTGTGAGCCAGGGAAGCACAGTCCTAACAATGCCAATGCAACAAGACTGAAATCGCATACTGTCTGAAAAAACAAGGGGAACCAAACCCTAAACCCTAAACACCAAGAGAACTCCTTTAACACCCAAGGCTGAGATCACATTTCCCCAAACCGCAAAGCCTCAACCCTAAATCCCATACACATCCCTAAACCCTAAACCCTAAATCCCTAAAACATGCTTGCAGGTGAGGCCATGGCGTAGGCACCAGCATCGCCTTGGTCCCACCGGCGAGGCTTCGATTGCATGGCACATAGGACAGTATCTTGCATATTATGTACACTGCTCAAAAATAATAACGCTATGTGTTACATTTTCTTTGCGTACCTCCCTCTCTCTATATATATGTAACAATCACTAACCATTGCGAAATAACTGTTTCATTATGTACGAAGAAGATTAAGAGCTCTAGAAAATACGGTCTTCGGGTCAGGTTTTTCTTCGTTATGGGGCGGTCCCCCCTCTACTACAGATCTCACCCCTAAACCCTAAACCCCAAACTCCAAACCCAAAGCCCAAACTCTACACCCTAAAACCCTATTATAAATATATATATATATATATAAACCCTAAACCCTACAGTTCCAGAGTTCCGTTAAACTCTTCGCCCTGCACCTCGGATCACAGCTCGGTGTTTGGGGAGATATTGATGGTTTCAGGATGTTTTTCGGTTTAGGGTTTAGAAGTTTAGGATTTAGGGTTTAGGGCCTATAGGGTTCAGGGCATCACAAATCTCGGTTCTCTTCCAACAACCTTGTTCTGCAAAAAGAGTGACGTACACTTTTCAACAAAAGGCACACTTTCGTTAGCAAAGGCCCCGCGACGAAATGCTGTCCGAGAATCTGTGCTGTTGGACTTCCAGCTTGCACACCACCACCTGAGCCGCGAGGGATCAGGGTTGAACGTGCAGGGTGGGTGTCGCGAGCTACGTCATTGCAAACACAATGCAAGCAAAAGTCTAAACCTGAAGCCCTAAGCAGCTTCGAAGGGTGTTTACGGATTCGCGCTGTTGTGGCTCTAACACCCAGAAAGAAACGCTTTCAAAGGTTCAAACATTGTACAATACCAATACACCTGTATAGCCGTGAAAGACCCTGAGTGGTAGTAATTATTAATTAACCCCTTCATCGCACCGAAGGCGCCCAAACAAACCCAAACATGATTTAACCCCAAACCGGAAAACGCTAACCCTGAAACCCCAAGTAACCTTACACCTCAAGCCTTAACACGTAAGCCTACCACCGTACATGCTTCCCTGGGCGCGAGAGCAGCCCATGGGGCAATGGTCAAGGCAGCAGCAGCTTCGAGGAACGCACCCAAGCCTGTGCGGGGACGGTTTAGGGTTTAGGGTGGATTTTGTAGGGGCCGTATACAGGTCCTGTTCATAGACTTCCTATCCCTTTCTTTACCGAGCGGTTTACATGGGGCTGTCTTGATAGTAGGCGTCCGAGGGCCGTCATAAACATGCCAGCCTGGACCCAAACAGTCAAAGAGCGTCTAGCTGCTAGCTATGAACAGCTACAGAAACAGTTACGTGGTAAATAATCAACGCTAAACCTTAAATCGCATCCGCCAGCACACGAAAGTATGTTGCAGCCTTTTTCCCAAGACCCTGAGAGTCGTCTGTCTTCATATAAGACTGACTACACTGTCGGACTCCGAGAATGAAGGCTGACACAGCCGAGAGTTGACATCATCAACATGTTCGGATCAATGCATCCGAAATCTCGCTGACGACATATGCCGTGCCAACTTTTGCAGCACCTGCCGGTGTCAGCTTTGTAACAACCTTGACGACCGTTCCTGTAGCACGAAGGGTCACGTATACCATGCGTAAACCCTTCGCCGTGGGGTTGACCGTCTTGACTACGTCAAAAACCAAGTCCACTGGATCCAACTTGTCGAGCTTGTGCGCGGCGGTCCAAATGTGCTTGAACTTGTTCATGTTTATTCCAGCCACTGAACCAAAACATTTGGTCACTGCTGCCATGAGCTTTCCAAACGCTGCCGTGGCGTCAGTTTTAGCCGCCATCGGCGTTTGAACCATGAGAAGCAGTAAGGCCACTGCGAGGATCTTTTGCCCCATGGCCCTGGAGTCTGAACGAAGCAGCAATCTACATCTGAGCAAGTATGGCTTTTGGAGCATGTGCATAAACCCTAAACCCTAAACCCTAAACCGTTTGCATTGGGTGAAGTCTGGGGATTCACCTGCACATCTTGATAGGCTGGAATTGAAGGCTCCTGGATGTCGCAGTTCCTTCCACCCGTCGAATCGGGCACACAGGCTGCACCCCAGACTCATTGCAGCAAGCTCAGCAATGCTCTACATACTTCGCTGTGTTGCAGCGGAGGGTGGAGATTCTGGCTCATTGACGGAACCCCTAAACCCTAAACCCTAAACCCCTAAACCCTAAACCCTCAACCCTATAGAACCTACAGTTTACGTACAAGTAAGTAGGAGGCTATCTTTGTTGGAGACATCCGGCTCTTACATGTGGGGAAAGCCAGGCGTTTTGGGGGGGTGTTGATGGTTTGTGTGGAGCAATGTCGATTGGGAGGATCATGGGCCTTAGTAAGCAAGGTTAGAAGTACCTTAATTGGGGTTAGTTATTAGTACTACAATTATTTATGGTCGTTACCTAATTTGTAACCCTACTTACTAAGTCCCATGATCCTGTAAGTAGGGGTTCTGGAGTCTCAAGGAAAAGGCGTGGGGAGCTCGTCACGCTTAAGCTTTGGGTTAGCAACCAGCTTACTGTGATGCGCAACCGTCATCCCGCTCATAAGCGCTTCAATCTCGAAACCCCTCAACCCCCCAAACCCGCCCGCCCTCATGCTTAACCCCAAAGCCCCTAAACCCCAAAACCCCAAAACCCCTAAACCCCTAAACCCTAAACCTCTAAACCCCTAAACCCTTAAACCCTAAACCTTAAACCCTAAACCCCTAAACACTTAACCCTAAACCTCCCAACACTAAACCCCTAAGCCCTAAAACCCTAAACCCTGCCTAGGAATTGCTGCAGGAAGGGATGACATACTTCCAGATTCCGGCGGGCTCTGGTGGCAGAGACCCGAAGATCCCAGCCTCTTGTGGCCACCTCGGCCGCATCGATTCGGGTCTAGGGTTTAGGGTTTTAAAGTGTTAGGGCATAGTTCAGGGTTTAGGGTTATAGGGTTTATAGGGTTTAGGGGCTTTAGGGTTTATAGGATTTAGGGCTATAGGGTTTAGGGCTTGTAGGGTTTAGGGTTATAGGGCTTAGGGGTTGTAGGGTTCAGGGATTATAGGGTTTAGGGTTTATAGGGTTTAGGGTTTATAGGGTTTAGGGTTTATAGGGTTTAGGGGTTTTGGGTTTAGGGTTTTAGGGATTAGGGTTTTAGGGATTAGGGTTTTAGGGCTTATAGGGTTTTTAGGTTATAGGGTTTATAGGGCTTTGGGTTTATGGCTTATCGGGTTTAGGGGTTTAGGGTTTCTTGGTTTAGAGCGTTTAGGGTTTAGGGTCTAGGGTTTCTGGACAACCCTGGAGCTATGCATGTCTGCACGTAAGTATAGTAGGTATATAATAAACCTGTCTGTATGTAAGTATGTACACATGTACGCATGTAGGTACGCATGTACGTACGTAGGTCGGTTGGTCGGTCGGTAGGCCGTGGAGCCAGTGATGGGTAGAGAGAGAGAGAGAGATCGCGGGCGGGAAACAACAAAACCAAGCGGACCCCACACAAAATAAAGCTAGATAAAGATAGCCACACGGCTAGGTATGCAAATGAAAACCTACGACACTGAAGCCGCTCTGACGGGATCTGGTTTGGAGCACGTTGGCGGCTGAAAGTGGACCTTAATCTTTGCGGCTCGAAAATCAAGTTGCCTAAGATCGGTTTCAACCAGTTGCCTTCCTGCTACGCTGGAAAATCACCCCAGAAATAAAGGCCAGAATAAAAGGAGCCGGCTGGTGGGCAAAAAGAAGTGTGCTTCAACTTTGTGGAGAACCTTAGGGGCTACTATCTCTCATGGTTTCAGGACCCTGTAGAAATCCTCCTGAGCGAACTCCTGGTTCAGGGTGCAGGGTGTACGTTTCGAGTTTAGGGACGTTTCGGGATTTGAGGTCCAGGATCAGGATCTGTGGTTGTTCAGACCACGGCTTCCATGTTGACAGGTTCAGACGAGCAACACCTAAAGGATCATACCCTAAGGGTGGGTAGGATCTGCTATATAAAGAAGGTAGGTACCTTAAAAAAAGGGTTAGGTAGGACCCTATAGGTACTGATAGCTACAGTATCTTGGAACTCGAAACCTATGCACTCACTGCACTTAGCACTTTCACCTTCTGTCCCGAGGTCATGAGCCTGACACCCCCAAACCCGACAGAACCACAGATCCTACACACTCAACCCCAAACTACTGACCCTCACAGATAGTCCGTATGGCCTCTAGAAAGGCTGCAGCGCCCATGGTCTCCTCTGCGAAACCGCCGTGGAAGACAAAAGCCAAGACCTCATCGGACCACCCTGGCAGCCCCTTGCAGGATCTAGGGCTGTGGGAGTGTAAGTAGGGGCCTTAATAATTAGAATAGGGTTTTGGGGGATATATTCTACCATAAAACTAATAAGGAACCCCAAAATATTACAGGAAACTATGAAGGCTCCTATAGTAGGGCATTAGGTTGAGCTTGAGGGCTTCAGGTGCTTTGCGCATGGGGTATTTTGTCAGACTAGCTTTAACGTAGAACTTGGAGATTCTCAGGGTTGGCAAGCACGAGCTTAGGCTAGGGTTTAGGGTTTAGGGTTTAAGGATTTTGGCTTAGGGTTCAAACGAATTCAGGGAGTATGATTGAAACCAAGGGTTTTTTTTAGAGGATTTCAGCGGGTTGTGTGCGGAATCATTCAAGATTCCGGGTGTGCCTGTGTGAAGGAGGCTTACAGTCAAAGGGTTTTCACGTGTACTTGCTAGTTTGCTGCCAGCGCTTTTGGAACGGACTTGCCATATGGCTTGGTTTAGGCTCCTGATCCACAATTCCATCTTGCCGTGGAGCATATGCCATGTGTACCCCATGAACGCGCTGCGCGCTTCGAGAGACGCGGATAGGCACAGGGAGGGATGCATGCAAGTAGTAGGTTCCCTTTACAAACGCTGTCGCTGATGCGCGAGACTTCCAGCTACGGGTGCTGTAATTCTGAATGCCAGTTTGTGGCATCGGATGCGCTTGGGTGTGGTGCGCAGTTTACTTCTGTTATTTGGCATCTTGGGGGTTCAGGGCATTCATGGCTTCGGCTGTGATGGTAGCGGTGGGTTGAGGGCTTCGGATTCGCGGTTTGGTGTGCTTAATGTGTCATCAACTGCAGGGAAAGGAGCGCGGTACGCTTCCGATGCCAACCACAAGCTGTGCATGGCGGCATTGGTGACGGAGCCAAGGTGCACACACCACACCTGCAACTCGGGTCGGCTTACCCTTAGGCTCCATGTACCCATGTGAGTTCCGATTATATAGCCGCTAAAACCAAGTCTACACAAGTACTATGATTTGTACACCGGGTACATGGTCCCTTAGGATTAGGGTTGGTCCTGCTTCAAGATTTTTCTGTCTCGGCTGGGTTACATCCATAGAAGCCCCCACAGCTTCAGGTTGCCCAGCTCGGGCTTATGTAAGCCCAAACCTACACCCAAAGCCGTTAAACATCTAACCCTAAAGCCCAAACCCTAAACCCTAAAACCCTGAAACCCTAAAGCCCTAAACCCTAAACCCTAAAACCCTAAGCCCTAAACCCCTAAACCCTAAAACCCTAGAGCACGTCGGGTTCCGAGGTTTCAGGGTTTCAGGCTTATGGCCGAGGGTTTAGAGCCTCTGGGGCTTAGGGTCTGGGGCCCAAGCTCTTCAGTTTAGAGCTTCAGGGTTTAGGGTTTAGGACCCTAAACCCTAAACCCTAAACCCTAAACCCTAAACCCTAAACCTTAGGGTATGAAGTTTAGGGTTTAGGGTTTGAGGTTTCGGGCCCAAGGTCTTCAGTTTAGAGCTTCCCTCCCTCTCCCTCCCTCTCAGGGCTTGTGGGGTTTAGGGTTTAAGGTCTTCAGTTTAGAGCTTTTGGGGTTTTGGGTTTAAGGTCTTCAGTTTAGAGCTTTGGGGGTTTTGGGTTGAAGGTCTTCAGTTTAGAGCTTCAGGGTTTAGGTTTACGGTTTAGGGATTGGGGTTTGGGGTTTAGGGTTTAGGGTTTAGGGCTTAGGGATCAAGATTTACGGTTTAGGGCTTAGGGTTTTGTTGTCCTGGGTTTGGGGCTCCGGATTTAAATCTTGCGGTTTACTATCTGTTATACTGAACTTGGTACCCTGGCAAACATTAGCATTTTAACAGTCTCTTAGAGGTCATGGTAAACAACAACTTAAAAATCGATTTCCAAGCAAGGATCAGCGCAAGTTCAGGGTGCGTTAAGGCGTTTGGTTGTGCTTAAGGTTTTGGTGTTAGGGCTTTTGGCTGTTTCAGTTCTTTTTGGGTTTGGGGTTCAGGGCTTGGGGCTTACAGCTGAACATGTCAGTGGTGGGAGGGAACTTCAGCGATGCCCCTGTCTGATTTGGGTGGAAGGTCAAGAGATGCAGCTGGAGTTCTGGTGTTTCAGAGTAAACCCTAAACCCTAAACCCTAAACCCCAAACCCTAAACCCTAAACCCTAAACCCTAAACCCCAAACCCTCAGCTGCGGGCAATTATAAGTACCTTATACATCGAAGCTCCCACAGCAGCGATTTACACGATCAGTCTATGCAAGAAGTCCCTAGGAGTAATGTTTCTCATCATTTCGACCTCCACATCAGGCTTTGGCTTTTTGGGGCTTCGGTATTCTCGAAGCTGTATAGGCTTGGTTGTTGCAGGCTTAGGCGCCCTTAGAACCACAATGAGCTTATATGGTTCGGAGTTTAGGGCTTAGAGTGTCGGCTGCTAGGGTCTAGCATGTGGGTGGTAGGGTTGATGAGACATTGAAGGATTTGGACGACAGTAGAGGTTCGACTCACGGGTTTAGGCTGTAACAAAGGGGCCTGGATAATTAGAATAGGGCTTTGGGGCCAATTAAAACTATAATTATAAGAAGGAACCTCTAAAACAGTATAGGTAATGATTCACTAAACCCTAAACCCTAAACCCTAAATTCCAGTTCTGGATGTCATGGTCTCGGAGAGTGCAACCCCGAAGCTCTCCACTGCAGCTGCCCTTCAAGCCCTGAAAAGAAACCCTACTGTAAACAGTGACATAGGGTTTAGGGTTTAGGGTTTAGGGCTCCTAAACCCTACTTCAGTGCTCTTAGGAATTATGGTGTATTTTGAATGGGTAACATGCCAGGAGATTACGTACTCAACACAACCCCGAAACCTTAACCCCAAACCCTATGACCCTTAACCCCAACTCTCCGCGGAAACTGGAAGTTACAGGAACCCTCAACCCGAAACCCGAACTACACGGCCGAAAGACCCGCCTCATCATCCCGCAGAATTCGGGGATTGCGTCTAGGATTCAACGCCCAGGGCTAAAACCATAAACCCTAAACCCTCCACCCTAAACCCCTAAACCCCTAAACCCCTAAAACCCCTAAAACCCCTAAAACCCCTAAAACCCTAAACCCCTGAACCCCTGAACACCCTAAACCCCTGAACCCCTAAACCCTCAACCTCAGGGCTTTCTGGTCAATGGGGTCAAGAGCCGAACCCCGAAAGTCCCAAAGCACAAGGCCTAAGGGGGTTGAAGGCATAGGCCTACGTTTCAAAACCCAAGAAGTTTGGGGTTTAGGGTTTAGGGTTTAGGGTTTAGGGTTTAGGGTTTAGTGTCCTTGAAAATAACTGTCAAAATCATATACACTGTTCTAGAACCCTACATAATCCTGAACTTAATTCGGCATCCTATCATTCCCTAAACCCCAAACCTTAAATCCTAAACCGCACACCCTAAACCCCAAACCCCAACATACTTTATTCTGAATACGGCAGCCTAAACCCTAAACCCTAAACCCGAAACCCTAAACCCTAAACCCTAAACCCTAAACCCTAAACCCTACACCCTAAACCCAAGAGCCTCCCTAAACCCTAAACCCTCAAGACCCCATAAACTTAGGGTTCAGGGTCTAGGGTTATAGGGTTTAGGGTTTAGGGTTTAGGGGTGTAGGGTTGTAGGGTTTAGGGTTTAGGGTTTAGGGTCTAGGGCTATAGGGTTGTAGGGTTTAGGGTTTAGGGTTTAGGGAGCTTGCGTATTACACCGTGCATGGTATTCCTTTTCGCTCCTTTCAAATGAAAGCACCTACACTTACGACATATATCCTACACTTACAACATATATCTAAATCATGAAAACAATTTAATTGTTTAAGTGATTTAAGTAACTTATTCACATTATCTAATATATTAATTTGCCGTGAAACGCGCAGTTTTTGCAAAGCCGCGTGGGGAAGCAGAGAGCAAGAAAGCCCCCCTTGAGTGGGGTTGGGGGGGGTGAATTCTAAACCCTAATTGAGAATAGTTGGGGTGGTTGGGGCGGGACTACATGCTGACGCAAGCGCGCGATTAGCGGGTGCGCCCCTATTCCTAAAGCAGAAGGGGACAGCGCACACTCTGTATACACTCTAAACCCCAAACCCGAAACCCTAAACTCTAAACCCTAAACCCTAAACCCTAAACTCTAAACCCCAAACCCTAAACCCTAAACCCCAAACCCCAAACCCTAGACCCTCAACCCTATAAACCC